TATCCGTCAGGATGAGCGCGTTATGCAACTTTTCGGACTAGTTAATACGCTCCTTGATCATGATAGTGAGAGTTTCAAGCGTCATTTGACAATTCAACGTTTCCCTGCTATTCCGTTATCACAGAACTCCGGTCTAATTGGCTGGGTATCAAACACGGATACATTGCATGCTTTAATCAAAGAGTACCGTGAAAGTCGCCGAATTTTGCTTAATATTGAGCATCGTATCATGCTTCAGATGGCACCTGATTATGACAACTTAACCCTCATGCAAAAAGTTGAAGTATTCGGATATGCCATGGACAACACAACCGGAAAAGATCTGTATCGCGTCCTTTGGCTTAAGAGCAAGAGCTCTGAATCGTGGCTAGAGAGACGAACAAACTACACCAGATCCCTTGGTGTTATGTCAATGGTTGGATATATCCTTGGCCTGGGTGATCGCCATCCATCAAATCTTCTACTTGAGCGGATTACCGGCAAAATCGTGCATATTGATTTCGGTGACTGCTTTGAAATCGCCATGCATCGTGAAAAATACCCTGAACGCGTTCCATTCCGTCTTACACGAATGCTCACGTTCGCTATGGAGGTTAGCAACATTGAGGGCAGTTATCACATAACATGTGAGGCTGTAATGCGGGTGATCCGAGAAAATAAGGAGTCATTGATGGCCGTGTTAGAAGCCGTAAGTGCTCCACTGGAAACTCTCTTCATCACTTATGATAAAAGATATAGATTGCTAACATCCATCTCTAGTTCATCCACGATCCACTCATAAACTGGCGCCTGGGTGCTCGAGAATCACCTGCGCGTCCGTCATTCGCTGCTGACCGCCGCCAGTCCGTTGTCGAGGAAATAAACATGGACCATCCAGTGCAACCAAGCAATTTCTCCCGTCGACGCCCATCCATTCTTGAAGGTGGTATTCTAGATGCGCAACAGGGTGTTCCCAACGAAGCCCGAGAAGTACAGAATGCCCGAGCGCTCCAGGTCCTTTCACGGGTCAAGGAAAAGTTGACAGGCCGCGATTTTAAGTCAACGGAGGAGCTCAATGTCTCGGACCAGGTGGACAAATTGCTGGTCCAAGCTACGAGCGTGGAGAATCTGTGTCAGCATTATATTGGATGGTGTAGTTTTTGGTGATTATTCCTATCTCTTGATATGCATGTAGACATGTAGATGTATGGTGGGTTGGAAACTCGCAGTTCCCTATTTTTCTTCCTGATCTCACTATCTTCTCTCTCTCATGGGTATGTCTGGCAAGTTATTCGTTTCTTCCCATCATATCTGTCTCATCATGCTTATCTGCCAATGTCAGTTGATGGTGTACGCATATCTAGCCAACCTTTGTTTTCTAAAGTCCACCTTGACCCCTCATTCTAGTTATCCCAATAATGATGATACCCCCTTTTCTAGTTCCATACAGCGATAGCTAGCTTCCGTTAGCCTTTTGTATTCTCTGATTATTATATGACATACTTGCTAATTTTACTTGGTTAGCAGCTGAGCTGTATCATGTTAATGAAATTAAGCCAAGGAAAAAGTGGATTTAACGATATGAGCAGCTATACAGGGGTTTAACGCCAGCTTCTAAGCAGAACCTCCCGTATAATCCAACAGGAAGAGCGAGTTTTTATTCATTTGTCACCTCAAAAGAACTGAGGATGCATGCTTGTTACAGATGTAGATTGTAGAACAAACGGGGAACACACTCCATGTAAAGGCGCATATTGAACAATAATTTCTAAAAATACCATAATAGCAAGAACATAAATGGAATAGAACTGGGCAGAAGTGGCGATGCGAATGGTGAAAAGGAAACACAGCAAAATGAACAGAAAGATAAATGATATATTGAAAAAAAAAAAATTAAGAGCACACAGCAAACAGGAAAATATCGCGACATGAAATGATATACCAATCCCCTCCCTCCTCACCCCAATATCATTCCACACCAGTCTTCTTCCCTTTCTTTCTCGAACCACCAATCTCGACGGGGTCCACAAACCAGCCGCCCCGCAACCATGCAAGAACCTTCCGGACACCCGCCTCGTCGACCGCACTAGGATTCTTCTCTAATAACACCCCAATAAGCGCCCACGACGCAACGAAGACGAACAAATCACCTCCTTTGCAGCCACGCCACAACCCCCGCTTCGTCCCAGTTCTCCAAGCAGAATCAACAGCAACACGGAAGAAATAGAGGAACATCGACCGATTGCCCTCGCCTGCCAAGAAGGCAAATGGCAAACCACCCAGGGCACCACTAAGGTAGAAACGTTGCGTTGGTAACAAGGAACGGGGAAAGAGTGAGTTGAAAAGACACACGCTGCCCCAGGCAGATCCCAAGGCGGCGGAGAGGACGGCAGTTCTAGATAGGATTTTTTCACAGATGACGTTGGTGGATAGGATAGGATGGGCGAGGAAGGTGCGGAATTTCAGGAGGGCCAGGGCTAGGTAGACTTTTGTGAGGAAGCGGGCGAGGAGAGGGACTGAGAGGAGGTTTTGGTGGAGGGAGGCTGTTAAGCAGGACGGGGATTTGGGGTGGAGGAGGGCGCAGGATAAGGAGGGGATGGAAGGGTGGGCCGGGGAGGTTATGGCGGATATGGATTTGAGGGACTCAGGTAGGACTTTTGGGTTCGAGGGATGGAGGATTGGGGAGATAAAGGCGCTATATGAGAATAGGATTAGAGAAAGAATTGCCAAGATTGAAGTGGTGGGTACAGATATGGTTATACATATATAACATACGGCCACTTTAGTTGAGATATTTTTGCCAGTGCATCCACAGATTCGTTTTGGTTTGGCCAATGACGGCTAGCGGGGTAGTTGTCTGGGCGTTGATGGATATGTCCAGGGGAAAACTTTAGAATAAAGTCACCAAACCACTGGATACAGTTAGTTTTATCATTGTTTTCTCTTTAAAATAGTCGCGTTGAGCGCTGGATTCCGACATACCTTCGGCTCGGTATCTCGATCAAATACAAATGCATGGAACAATTGTGCAAAGGAAACCGGCATCACCAGCCAACTCCCAAACCACCACGGCCGATTCTTGAACCACCCTTGCGCCTCTAACTCATTAAACAAAAATTCCAAGCTCCGGGTTGACATGTAAATTGCCAGGGTGAGACGGAGCCGGCTTTGGGGGAAAGCACCAAGTGCAAAGCCGGCCAAACTGGCGCCGATTGCGGGAGCATATTTCGATGTCAAGACTATAGAAACTCGAGGATTACGGGCGCGGAACGGACGCGCATCGTCTGTACGCAAGTTTGCGCGCAATCGAAGAAAAAATCGGTGTAGGAAACGGTGTAGAAGGAGGGTAAGAGATAGCGCACAAGATAAGCGAAATGCCGGAGACTGGTGGAAGGGAAGTTTTGGGGGTTTACTATCGATTTAGGGCAGAATGTTAGTGGGTTATCAGTCTGCCTTTCAGTTCCCCGTTGAAGACTGATTTGGGGAATGTGGCTTACGGGGCATTTGGGTTGTTTCTAGACGCCAGCTTTTGTGTGATATATTCGAGCAGCTTCATGCCTCCCCCGGCGGCGAAGAAAACGCGTAGCGAGGCGCGGAGGGCGGCTTCATTGTATTTGTCTTGGGATTTAACAATTTCCCTGAATGTGGAAGGTTGTAACGCTCTATTCTGAACCGCGGAAGGGAGTCGTTTTATGAGGTGCTCATGGAGAGATTTATACTCGGACGCGGAGAGTGATAAGCGGAGGACGTTGCGAATGATGGGATGAATGGATCTGGACGAGCTTGGCTGAGGCGCAGGTTCCGGGTGGGACGCCATTATTGAAGTATCTGTAGGATCTATGCTACTATATGATAAGCATGATCATGCTTGGTGCCTGTGGCGGGAATCCGGAAAATGTGTGAATATTTACGCTATGTGCAGAGAGTTTGATGTTGTTAATCTGGGGTTGAACTTTTAAGCTCAGCTGAGCCTCGGCTGACGCTGTCTTGGCGTCTGTGGGGCTGTTACTATCTATCAATTAGGGAAGATCTAGTTATACAAACAAATAATCAAAAAAAAAAAAAAAAAAAAGGGATAAAGAGATCTGCCAAGTATTTATGGCTGTACCTAAAGATTATACGGATATCCCATAGCTAATATCTCCTAATATTATATCTCCGCCAGTTCTCATTTCATTCTCATTTCCATACATATTTCATCGCACCGCGTCACCAGCCCAGAAAATCACATAAAGCGTGTGAAGGTAATCTTTTATATTTCCCATAAAAAGATATGGACATACGATACCCTATCTCTGCGGGTAGTGGGTTATGCTTAAGATTCAACTTTCTGCCGGAGCCACCTGGCCAGACATTTCCATTACTATATTGGTTGGCTACACAAAACCACGGGTTGTATGTAGTTTTAACTCCATAGTTAGACGGCATCCCAATTCGGGGCTAGGTCACCGTGAATAGGGTAATCAGCCTTCGCTTATTATCGGTATAACTGAGGACCACGCGCTTAATCTATTGATCCACAACTACTTCTTTGTGAAAGAAATAGCTCGCTAACTCCGGCGATTAGTATTAGCTGTTTCATGCCCAATGTTCCTTTTGTACTCCCTTTCGGATTTGTAGACATATGTGTTAGGCTAGGGACCGTGGGAATTAGATGAGATAAAATAGGACAACCGGAGGCATTAGAGTCTAGATGTGGTTGAACTTACCCATGTGATATGTTCACAGAAGTGCTTTGAATATTCATTTCGTAGTGGCATAGTCGACAAGAACGCCCAATAAGCTCTTTGCAGAGGCTAGTCGAAACGTTCGGAAACTGCTAGACAACAAACACCGGGACTTGGATCGTATAAGTCCCATATGTCGGGGAGGGGACCTGGGTGTATTGAATATGGGGATATATTAAGCCTTTTCGAGGGAAAAATACATCACTTCCCTTGTTTTTGCACGCCGCCACTACGGTTGGCATTGTGGAGGGGGCAGGAGGAAATAATCCTAGTGTAGAAAAATAAATAATTCGGCTATGAATCATTCGGTATGGAATCCCAGTAAGTTAAATCTGTCATCCAATCATTCAACATCCAATTCCCCACCGGGTCAATCAGTCTACTGGTGGAAAATGAAAGGCCTGGGGGATCCATCGAGAGTGTCCGTGAATCGTCGCTTGTCATATAGCCAGGCTCACTCCCAGATAGAGGCTGTGTCGCTGAAGGAAAAGGAGTGGTAGGAGAGTTCTTTGAATCGTGTAAACTGACCAGCCCGGTAACAGGAAAATCATCTGCGTTCATATCATGTTCTCTATTTTCATTTTGCGTACTGGCTGCAGCAGCGAGTGGTGGTGGCGATTCCTCTGACATCGTATTCTTTCGCTGAGAGCCGTGTCTAAGCCCATACACAAGGTCCCATTTCGAGCAGAGGTCGGGCCCGAAGAAATTGAAGAATTGAAACTGTCGTTCCGAGACAGATATCTCGAATGAGGGACGCTGCGATTGCTGCTTTTGGATAGCCGCTGTAACTCCTCTCACAACTCTCTGGGCTCCAAGTGCTGACGGGAACCTATGAGCAAATTCATCCAACACCTGATTTATAACATCAAACTCTTTTTCGGTTTTGGCCCATAGTAGCGGATAGTTATGACAAGCTACTTCGGCAAGGGCAGCGGCGAGTAGATGGAATATGAATACAGGGGCTAAAAGGGGTACTTCTCCTCGTGCTAAAAAGTCCTCGTATATGCCCACCACAAAAGAAGAAGACAAAACCGGAGCCACAGCTGGAGGAGTATCCATAACAGTGGGTCGGAAAAGTATCGAAAGCGCCGTGAAATAAGGGATATGTAATTGCCGCGCCTTGAAATTATACGGACGGAGCTGACCCGTTTTCCGGTCATGCAAATGGAATTGGGGTGGGAGCTCGCTCATCCAACGGAAAAGCCTGTGCTCAATAGACGTACGGCTTGAACGACCAAGAGTACCACGAAAAGAATGCTCCGTCAGATCACCAAGGATGGAAGATATTTCTACGTAGGTTATGAAGAGACGTGCATCCTCTTGGTTACCAGGGAAATCCTCGAGTGTTGGTGGACGAACGTCGAAATCCTTTTTAGAAATGGCTCTTGGGCGGCCATGGCTTGCCGATATCATGCAATCCCGGGTCTAACACACGTTAGTTTCTTCTTTCTTTAAAATAAAAAAGAATTAAAAAAAGAATAAAGAATAAAGAATAAGCTCCTGATATGTAGGAAAGCGGGATAGCATACAAAAAGTGTCCACCATAGCCTTCGACGGAAACCGACATTCGGCTGACTAGGCGAGGGATCACGATGAAGCCCGATCTGGTGAGCCAGAGCAACGCCCATGTGAAGCCAAAACGTGCTTGCATCTCGAGAGATATGTTCAGCACCGCTCGGGTTCCACCACTGTAAAAGGCATATAGCTTGAATAACGACCAGCGGATCCTTTTCGAAATCAGAGTAATATAAGGCCTTTGCACGCCGATAAAATTCCTCTCCAACACTCTGAGCCTGCGGCGCTGTAGACACTTTGCTACCGGCAACAAATATAGCTTGTAAAAGCAGCATAGACGTTTCGGACTGATGATCATCCCGCTCAATGGCTATGTTGTCCACTATGGGCATCCATGGGTGGCATCTTTCGAGAAAATTCGCAATCAAACTGTCCCGTACGGAACGAGGAGGGAGATCAAAAGCTCGAAGTTCATTAAGGAACCTTTGATACGGTTCTGAGGGGTGGTCATCACGCACCACGCGGTACTTCCGCGCATCTTCTTCGTCAATTGGCACAATACTAGAAATATACTCGCTTCTGCCAAGATAACTACCAGACGGACTTGCATAGCTTGATTCACTTGGCTTGGGTAGTCCTGGTGAACCAGTAGAGTCAATCCCCGTTACTCGAGAAGGAGATTTAGACGGGTAGATAGTGGCCAGCGGCGCTATGGATACTCTTTCAGAACGACGATACTCCGAAGACTCTACCTTCCGGCGTCGCTTTCGAATATGTGGCCTAGTTGTAGAATCAGCAAATGGGTAGAGAAACATATTCCTTATCTAGTTAAATACACGCACTTGCATTCATGATTCACAGTCCGACAATTTGAGCAAGGCCCATTAGCCGTCGCTAAATCACAACGAATCTAGGAAAATTCAGCATCACCCTGAGCCAGGTGGAATAGACATTATCATATCATATTTATTACCTTGCGATTGTGACAACTTGTGCAAGCTTTGGCCCCCTGCCGTTCGCGAGACGCACTATGCAAAGCTTCATCATCGCTTGTCATCGAGAATCACCTCTCTTTCTCCTCGTCCGATATATCTTTTGTGTATATATACTCTGACCAGCCAAGGAACGTCGACGCAGATCTTAGATCCTCGGAATATTATTCTTCTTCGACGGGGTGTGAAACAAACCTTGGAACTTCGGGGAGCTAGATAGTTGCAGATCACGTGGTAGTTCTCGCCGTTGAGCGGAGAAAATCCTCTGTTCTTCTGTTCAGATAAAATCGAATAGAAACATCATCTGGGGGAATTGAACACCTCCCTCGACCTCGTAGTCGTTTGGTGGAACGGTTTTATCTCATTGTTCTGTTGTTGGAGCGTTGGTCACTACAAATATGTTAGTTATACGTTTTTGTCCGTAACTAGTTAACTATTTTTTGGCCGCATCTTAAGCATTGAGTTAACTCACTTAAGAGTTTGTTATTTCCGAGATGACTCACTAGGCCAAAACCCCGCTACCTAATGAAAGGTACAGAAAAGAGCCTTTTTCTCGAACAGATCTCATCATCCTCTGTTTATTCACTCTTTCCTCCATGTTGAGCAAATACTAGAGAAGCAAGAGTCCAATGTCCACTCAGGTCTCACTTCGTCTGAAATATCTCCAGATTTAAGGACAACTGAATCATGGCGAATGCCATGAATGCAGAAGCGCTCAGAGCTTGGGAGAAAAATGCAGCCTATTGGGACAAAGTAATGGGTGCTGATGGTAATGACTATTACAAAGCAGTCGAACTCCCCGTCCTCGAGCGCATGGCAGCCGTGAAACCCGGCGATATGGCGTTAGATCTTGCAACCGGAAATGGGCTTGTGGCGCGCTGGCTGGCATACCGCGGCGCTCGTGTTATTGCGACAGACGGGAGCCAGGCCATGCTGGACCATGCCAAACGTAGGGGCGTGGATACCGATGGAATCCATATCGTCTCGATATCGTATCAGGTTTTGGATGCCACTAGCCCGGAAGCGTTTGAGAAGTTAATCGAGCAGGAGACGGTGGATGTAGGGCTTTACTGGCATCTTCATATCGTCCTCGTTTTTCTTCTCTCCTGCACATTTCTCTTTTATCAGGTGATAGGAGGAAGCGAGCTGACATCAAGTCTGCTCTATGTCTCTACAAGGGTAGGAGGGCACGTTCGATGTCGTGACAATGAACATGGCCATCATGGATATCGGTACACTTGAACCCTTGGCTGCTGCCCTCCCGAAGTTACTGAAAAAGAATACGGGACGGTAAGTGCCAATTTTGTCTCCCTAGCTACGTGTCTAAGATCTTTGAGCAACAACTTTGACAAAGAAAGGAACCCTTGATTTTTGTTCATCTCCCCCTTGTACTTTGCATAATATATATGTGACTCGAGCTGCCAGCTTCGTTGCGACTCTCCTCCATCCATTTATCACAGCTGGAGCCACACGAGTGATCGAGTATGGAGACAGCATCGAAACAGGGCGTGAGGAAGAACGCGTCAGCATTAAGCTGACCAGATATCTCCATGCTGCTCCTCCGGTCAAAGCAGAAGCTCTGAAAGGGCAGCCTTCTCATCAGGTACATATATCACAACGAGAATTGCGATATGAAGCCAGTCTATCACATTTGCTGGATGCCTGATGGATTTGCTAATTATTTGCGAACCAATCCTTGGATTAAAAATTAAAAAAGTTTACCTTCCACTGTCCTATATACGAAGTGTTGGCCCCTTTCCTCCGCTCCGGTCTAGTTCTCGACGCGCTCGAGGAGCCAACCTTCGACGAAGAATACAACGCTAGAACCCCCGTTGACCCCAGGTCCTTGCGGTATATCATCCAGATTCCCAAAATCTTTGCGTTCCGGATGAGGATCGTCGGGCATTGATTCATCGTTCCTTTACTGTGCGGTAGAATGGATATTTCAGGAGCTCACAGACAGATTGAAATTGTCCTCCTCTCGCTTTTCACATTTAATTCTTTTTGTTTCGAGAACTGTAGCTGAAGTCAAGGTTGACCTAAATAAGCTATCAATGCCCAATTAGAGAGAAATATGGTCTTCTAACTTTAGTTACACAATACGTTAAATTGACGTTTCTCCACCCCTGAAAAGCAACCCAAAAACCAACTAAAGGGGATATAGATCGCCTTGGCTATTTTCCTCCAACATCCTTTTTGATTCTCAGCTATCAACTCGGCCCCTATCAGCAGACTTTTGTTGTTCTACTTCAAACCTGTCCTACCACCCACTGGACAAAAGTTATAACGTTTCTGCTTGTATCACAAGATTATCAGGAAGAGAGAACAGGACAATAGAAAACTTGGGGGAGATTAGATAGATACACTGGGATGGAGGTGACACAGCAAGAATGCAAAATTCTTTACAGAAAGCCTATATTTAGATCCCTCAACTGGTTACGCACCGCTGTAGCGTCAAAGAGCGGCGAAAAGAAGATGTACAGAAGCCGTTCTGAAAATTCTTCTATTATTCCATTTCTGAACAGAGAATAATAATGGTAACAGGGTGGGAAAGTGAAGATGGAGCAGGGGGGCAAACCCATTGGTGTGTATAAGTTATCTAATAAGGATGTAGATGGGACGCGCCGAATGGCAGGGAGCAAAAATGGCAGCATAAAGAAACACTCACTAAACATTTCCAAAAGAGAGTATCAATCTCCTGACAATATTAGAGGACACATGCAAACTACCACCTGATAACCTTCTGAGGGAAGAACTCGTCAATGAGATCGAGATAATACGGCTAACTCCTGAGTTAGAAACCTGAAACCGTCTACCCAAACCTCTCCGCCCCCCAACCCCCACCCCCAAAAAAAGACTCCCAAAATCTGATTTCGGGAATTGCTTACCTTCAATTCCTCTACGTTGGGACTAGCATCATTCTTGCTATAGAGGTCATAAGGGTTAAAAGCCTGAACAGCCTTCAGCATGTCCTTATCATGCTCATTCATAAATTCCATATAGGCACCCGAGGTATGCCACGCATAAAATGAATGGTAACGGATAATCGCTAGCGCTTCAGGCGGGAGAAGCGATTGGTCCTTGACAATATGGTAGAGATACTCATCGTGTCCCCATGAGAGCATGACATTATCCAAACCGCAACCCGGACTATATATGCCGTATTTCGTCCCGTAAATCTCGTGGCCGTAGTCGGGGTTCTTCTTGAAGGACTCGGACGAGTAGACAACCCTATCATCAAAAGCACAGCCAACGGGGAAAGTGTCACCCACCACATCCCACTGGCCCTGTGCACCGAAGAAATAGAGCAGCTTGCCCAAGTCGTGGATGAGACCGGTCAACTGCATCCACCGCGGCTTGCCATCACGGCGGATGGCCTCAGCGGTCTGTAGGAGGTGCTCAATCTGTGTGAGGGTGGTGTCTGGGTCAGAGTCATCAATGAGTGTGTTAAGCTTCTCCATGGCTTCCCAGACACCCATATAGGCGCGTGTCTTTGAGTGGAATTCGTTGCGGGCCTTGAGGTTGAAATCAACTGTCTGTTTCTCATGCTGCTCGAAATAGAACTTTTTCACTTTCTCCCAGACAATTTCGTATTGACGGAATTGGGATTTGTCTTTGTCCTTGTCAAACTCGGACTTATCATACAGTCCCCTCTCCTTCTTGAGGGTGGCTTTGAGCACGTTGACTTCGTCAATGTTATCAGATAACTCTTCAAGAGCGCGGCCATCCCTTCTCTTGGCTGGCGAAAGAGCAGCATCTGGTGCCTTCATGTTGTAAATGTGCAAACAAAATTGACCTGCCCTTTTATCTCAAAAAAGCACACCGGGGAGAAATTTGACAAGAATACGGGAAGGAAATGTGGGAAAAAGTCTTTTCTCTCACGACATCGAACCATGCCCACTTGATTTATTAAGGAAGAAATCAGACAAAAAAAGTAGACGGAATCTCTCCGGGAAAAATATATATGAAAAAAGAAAACGAAGCCAAAATCTAGTTGCTCCCTTTGCCCATTGATAGGTGTGAACCAGCTCTGATACTAAGAATATTACTGATGAACTCCAACTGAGTTTATGATTCATCTGGCCCCACCATTGTCATCAAGAAGCAAAAAGCAGAATGCCGTCCAATGATCCAAAAAAAAAAGAGAGACAGCAGGTTTCTCTCTTCAGTTTTCTATCTTCAGTTTTCTCTCTTCACAATATTCCATACGCATTTGATATTTTTAACAGAGGTAGTCCCTGATGTTAAGAAGCTGCATCATAATCCGGTCAAAACCCCACACTCTATAATTAGCCAGGGGTTATTCTTCTGGTTTCAAGCGGAAAAGATTCCCCTTTATTCAACGAGGGTGCATGGCGTCCATGGTGTGCACCTGAGTTAAAACATGATCACCGGGGCTCCATTCCAGAAACATATACCCCAACAAAACCAAAAAAAGAAGCTGTTAAGGTTGCGATGCATTTTGTGGATTAATGTGATGTCAGATGTAGGAACCTTTTGTTAGTTCAAGCTGCGGTTATTGATATTAGTCTCGAAAAGATGGAATAGAATGGTATTTGCCGTCGACCATGCTATTTGGGTAACTAAAATCAACCACGAGAGTATGACTGTTCGGTTCTCCTGGCGCTCAATTGAGTTCGTTTTCTATCAATGCTGAGATGGGATGATTCAAGTCTGGAAAGGCAACAGGCGATGAGTAAGTTTATCAAAAAATGCAGCCCTCACTGAAGAGGGGATGGGAGAATTTTTAAATAAAGGTAGGTAATTCGTTATCAACGGACATTGGTGCGGACTAAATAGTTGCGTTACGGAAAATGAAGAAT